TATTTTATTATTTTTAAGATTTTTTTCCCTCCATTTATAGCTTTAATTTATCTAAAGTTTATTTCAGTGTATAGTGAAAGGCAGGGATTAAACTTTATTTTCTTCCAAATAGATAGCTGCTGTTCCAGTATAATTTACTGAATCCATCCTTTCTTCAGTGAATTAAGATTGATGTTTATCATGAATTAAATATTCATATATATTTTTTCTGGATCTCTTGCCACATTATTTATTCTGTTTTATTAAGCTTTTTTATCTGTTTCTTTATGAGAACATGTAGTCAGTTCTCATTATGTGCTGTGGTTATGTCCTGTAAAAGCCCTGCAAACAGTGAATTCCTGACTACTGACCCATTGCCCCTGGGGAAGTAAGAGTGAGGGTCCTGAAAGCCTCTGGCCACGTCATCATCAGCTGATCAATAGGTGACCTTGTTTCATGTATGTTTCTGTTTAAAGACACCTTATTTTATAGTATTGACTCAGTGACAGTGAACTCAGTCAACAGCACTATAACTCATGTCTGAACGAAGTTTGTCTAACACATGTATTTTCTTTCTAAGGCACATCACAGCCTGTACTTAGGGTCACTAAAAAGTACTTTAGCACTTGGCTCGCAGGACTTTTGTTTTATTATTACAAACTATTTTTTAGAGCAGTTTTAGGTTCACAACAAAATTGAGTAGAAGGTACAGAGAGTTCCCCTGTCTCCCCTCTCCTCACAAATGCACAGTCTCCCTTGGGGGCTATTTTAAACAGCAAAATCACTGACAGAAATGCAGAAAATATGGCACTAAATAGACAGTGAAAAGGACATTTGTTTATAGCAGGAGAGGTGAGACAGAAAGGCCGAGCGAGGCCTGGTTCTGCCTCAGCTGGGGTCGCTGCTCTGCTCGTGAGTGGACGACTCTGGAGCACTGGAGTATTGCTTGGGTTACAAATGCACTTTAGGGAGTAGGCAGTAGGAACCTCAAATGCCAAGGATTGACTGTACTGCTTTAATTATAGTAGCTTTACAAAATGCAACATATTTTTACACCTGGAAAAACCATTTCCTCTTAATTTTTCATTTTCAAGAGTTTATTTTCTACAACTCTTAGGATTCAGTAACAGAAAGACAAATAATCCAATTAAAACGGGCAAAAGATTTGAATTGACATTTTTCCAAAAAAGTTATACAGACAACTAATACGCATACGAGGAGATGCTCAACATCAGTAGCCATCATGGAGATGCAGACCAAAACCACAATGAGAAGGCGCTTCATGCACACGAGGATGGCTACAACACAGTGATAGACAATCAGAAGTGTTGGCTAGAATGTGGAGAAATTGGAACCCTCATCCACTGTTGATGGGAGTGTAAAACAGCACAGCTGCTTTGGAACACAGTTTGGCAGTTCTTCACGAAGTTAAACACAGAGTTAGCAAATGACCTAGTAATTCCACTCCTAGGTGTGTACACAAGAGAACTGAAAACATATGCCCACCCAAAAACTTGCACGCAAATGTTCATAGGAACATTATTCATAATAGCCCCCAAGTAGAAATAGTCCACATGTTCAGCAACTTATGAATGAATGAATAAAATGTAGTATATCCATGTACTGGATGTAGTAGAAAAGAATGAAGAACTGATACGTGCTATAACATGGATGAACCTTGAAAACATTATGCTAAGTTAAAGAAGTCAGACACAAAAGCCCATATCTGAAATACCAGAAGAGGCAAATCCATGCTGAGGGCTGGCAGGAGAGGAGTTGGAATGGGAGGAGACTGCTAAGAGCATCAGGGTTTCTTTTTAGGTTATGAAATGTTTTAAACTGAGATGATGGTGCTGGTTATATAACTCTATGAATATACTAAAAACCACTTAATCATACACTTTGAATTTTATGGTATGTGAATTAATCTCAATAAAACTGTTTTTCAATGTAATTATCGACACAGGAAAAGCTAAATAGTGCCCTTTCCCTCCAGTCCTGCCCTCCTCATGCCCAAAATGTCATGATAAATCTTCAGGTCTTCTCTGTCTTCTGTGTCGCTGCTCCCTCAGGGGAGGACTCTTGGGCAGTGTCACCACACAGGTGTTCTGGGTAGTGCTGCTTAGATCTGTAGACCGGGGCATCCCTGCCCCTGGAATCTCCTTTCTTCCCAAGCCCATTGCCTCAGTTTAGATTCATTATATTTCACCTCTCATCACAACACAACCCTGCCCACCCCCACCCCCCAAAAAAGGGGACAAAAACAAAATGCAACCAGGTCTTCCTCTTCCCAGTCTCTGTCTGTCTGAACCGCAGGCCTACACTCTAACCGCTGAGCCAAACCGGCCAGGACCCCAGTCTCTCTTCAAGGACACCCTAGTCACAACTCAGCATAACCCTCCTGAAGCATCAGGAAACCCCTGTCAAAGGCCGCTGATGGATCCTTGTTTAGCTCCCAGTAGAGTCCTCAGTGCACCTAGCCCTGGGAGCCTCATCACAGTGTCCTCGGAGCACTGCTCCCCCCGCCCCAGCCACCTGCTCCCTCTGCCCTCCCCTGCTCCGGGGCCTTGCTGATTCCTGTCGCCTCTTGCTCTCAGTGTGCTCCGCTGAGAAATGAGGACAGTGATGCCCCTTCAGTAATTATGTGTAAACAGTAAACCATACAGCACGTGAAAGTGACCTGCATGGGGCCTGGCGGTTAGCACATCCGTCCCTTCTCCTGCCTCCCTCACAGTGCTTTGGAAACGGAAACGCTACGTAATTACAACACGTTGTTATGATATGTGTGCCTCATTGTATGTCCATTACCCCGAGTTCTTGTATTTTGGCAAGAAGTTACCATATTTGGCCTCTAATAAGGAACATTTAAAAATATTCCAGAAGAAACAAAACTACACCTGCAGCCTCAGAGGGCCACTGAAACAGGCGCCACTACAGGGTTTCCAGCTGCCCCGGAGGCTGGCAGTGAGCAGTGCGCGGAGAGGTCCCTCTCGGCAGGGTGCAGTAGTCCCCTGCGTGGCACTCTGCCCACAGGCTGAGACGGGTGGGGAGGGTAGGTGGCAGCTGCCTTGAGGAATCCCAGGTTCTGTCTGCCAGAAATGGAGGATGCTCAGGTGAGAATAAACACAGGCTTCCCCTGATAGAGTTTCCTACACCCTAGTACTGCTGCTGTAAAAAAAACAAGGACAAAGTCCTTGTTGCTGGCTACAGTAATATTCTGTGGTCAAGAGTCAGTTTCCAAGTGTGTTTATTGATTTAACGAATTGACTTCTGCCCTGCTCTTGTGACTCAGTGGTTGAGCATCAACCCATGCACCAAGAAGTTGTTGGTTCAGTTCCTGGTCAGGGCACATGCCCAGGTTGTGGGCCGAATCCCCAGTGGGGGGCGTGTAGGAGGCAGCCAATCGATGTTCTTGCTCATTAATACCTCTATCTGTCTCCCTCTAAAAAATCAATAAAGAAAAAAAAATTTTTTTTAATCCTCACCCAAGGACATTTTTCTGTTTATCTTCAGATAGCATGGAAGGGAGGAAGAGAGAGAAGCATCGATGTGAGAGAGACACATGGACTGGTTGCCTCCCACATGACCTGACCAGGGCCGGGAACAAACCACAACTGAGGTACGTGCCTTTGACCAGAATCAAACTCATGACTGTTTGGCCAACCGCTGAGGCAAACCGGCCAGGGCAAGAAAATTTACTGAAAAATGAAAGAATTGACTTCACATTTTAGCCACATTTTGTTTTCTGTTGTCTTTTGTTCTAGGCTCTCTCCTGGTTTGGTTTCCATTGGGTTTTAATCAGAAACCATCTGGTGAAACATTTTGGATTCAAATTAGAGCTTATCACAAACACATATCTCAGAGAACACACATAAAACCCAGAGTGGAACAAAAAGAAAACAAGAAATAGTGCAGTGACATTGTAAACAGCAGCATGCCAGAGGGAAGGAATGGAGGGAACTTGAGAAGGGCTGTGTAGAAGCAGAGCCAGCCCCTCAGACAGGGACCGACCAGGGACTGACCAGGGACCAACCACTAACTTCTGGGTCAGGGTGGGCAGTCTTCCTTTTCTCACCCGCCTGCAGCCTTTGGGGGTAGAAACCATAGGTGGTAGCCCCTACTCCCTCTGAGCTGCGGTAGAGCGTCGTCCCTGGGCAGATACAACTCACTTTACTCCGCAGATGGGCTCCTGGAAAGTCCTGTCTCCTCTCCACCCCTTTTCTCTGCACCCTTTTCTCACTCTTCCTTCCCAGAGACATCCTGGCCTCCACTTGGGCTTATGAACTAGGGCCTGGGCACATACCCAGAGTGTTGGAGAAGCACGCAGCGGGACTCATCCCTGATGGTGGGAACCCCCTTTATGCCTGCCCCTCCCCCATGTGCTGTAGCCGGTTCAGACACTCGGGCCACAGGTTAGAAAGTGGTGGAAGAGCCCTGGCCGGTTTGGCTCAGCGGTTAGAGCGTCCGCCTGCGGTCCGGAGAGACCCGGGTTCGGTTCCCGCTAAGGGCGCGTACCTCGGTTGCAGTTTGTCCCCGGCCCTGGTTGGTCGTGCGGGTGGCAGCCACTCGATGTGTCCCTTTCACATCGATGTTTCCCTCTCTCTCCCTCCTACTCTGTCTGTACAAAAAAATGGAAAAATGTCCTCGGATGAGGATTAAAAAAAAAAGAAAGTGGTGGAAGAACCACATCTCCAGTCCCAGGTCACTGTCTTCTCTCGCTGTTCCACTTCACTTGTCGACTTGACATAGGAAATATGTGTACATGTCAAAAAATATTTTCCATGAAGTGTAGAAGAGTCTGCAGAGAAAAGGACCTTTCCTTCCCACCCTGTCCCCTGGGCGCTCTGCTCCCTCCTCAGAGTTGACTATTACGTATGCACCTTTTCAGAGGTCACCAGTGCTTGTCTTTGTTGGCTTTCAAAGGCATTGATATAGCTTTCCTCTTTGCTTCATTGCTGGGACTGCAGGATTAACTTGTGTTCTTCCTGTGTCTGCTTCCTCTGTCTCCCTTCCTTGCTCAGATTTTGACCCCTGGTGGACAAATGACCGTGAGCAGAATGAGTCGGACCCCATCCCTGCCAACTGCACAGGTTGTGCCCAGAAATTACCCCTCAAGGTAGTGCTCCTGGAAGAGGCCCCAAAGGAATTTGAGAGACTCCATCCTCTGGTGATCAAGGTGAGCGAGAAGCCTGATTCTCCCACTGACTACTCATTTAATGGCCAGACACCATCAAGCTCTGTGACATTCCTGGTCGTAATTCTGTGTTGTTTTGCTTTGCATTTGTTCTCGGCCTTGCCAGACGGAGCAGCCCCTGCTGTCTGAGGAGCTTCAGCATTTTTTGTGCCAGTACCCGGAGGCCACAGAAGGCTTCACGGAAGGGTTTTTCGCCAAGTGGTGGCGCTGCTTTCCTCACCGGTGGTTCCCGTTTCCTTATCCTTGGTGAGTGTGGAAAGGGGGCAGACCAAACGCTGTGCAGCACCCCGTTCAAGTCCAGTGATGCTCAGGCGCTCACTGGACAAACGAGTGATGAGATAAAGGGACGAGTGGAAGAAGTGTGTCAGGAGGAGTGCCACCATGGGTGGACACCAAGGTGCCTGATCGATTCATAATTTATACCTAAGTAGTTGTCAGCATTGTGTTTATGCAGCACGGTCCTGAGCGTTGCGGGCTGAGACAGAGCTCGAAGACCGGAGGAGACACTCGCTCCTCGGTGCTTTCTGTGCCGGCAGCGCGCCTTGGTGCTTAGTGTCTGCTGCTCAGTGGTGACGCTCGGATAGCTCTGGGAAGTAGGAATTATCATTGTCATTTCTCAGATCAGAAAAAGTGGGAATCAGAGCGACTTAGTACTTTGCTTCAGGTCACCCAGCCAGGATTGAAACTCAGACCTGTGTCCCGTAGAAGACATGGCCCATTTCTTGGCGTGCTCTCTAGAAAGAAAAGGAAAGCCAGTGTCCATCTAGAAACATCCAAAGGGGACTAAGATTGCTTTTTCAGGCTTTTTGTTGGATAATTACTGGGTGCTTCTGCCTTTCTTTAAATTTGCTATTTCTTTACGTGATCAAAGACTCAGTGTAACGAGCTGGTCAGGCTTCCCACCGCATGTCCCTCCGCCCCGGGAGAAGGATCATGACTTTCGCTGCCTCCTCCTCCCTTGGTCTCTTCTCCCACTTGGCTTGTTATTGCTTCAGTCTCTTTTGCAAGACAGAATGAATGGATTGTTTCCTTCCTTCTTCTATATGTTGTTTTAGCTGGATTATATAAACACCCACCCACATGGACCGATCCATGGATCAGCACGACTGTTCTTCATGGACCTGATACTTAAGATATCGCCCTGATATTTCCCCTCTTCACCCTCCGCCCACAGCTTTCCCACCCTCGCCCAGCCCTCTTAGTCATGGGGGCTGGCTCGCCCAGTTTAATTACTTTTTTCTCTTCCAAACTTTTACAGGAGAAGACCTCTGAACAGATCTCACGTTTTACGTGAGCTTTTTCCTGTTTTCACCTACCTCCCATTTCCAAAAGATGCATCCTTGAAAAAGTGCTTCCTTCTTCAACCAGAACCTATTGTGGGGAGTAAGGTAGGAAATTTTGACAGGACTTAGAGCCAGAACTTTCCTCATTTGGGGACCTGGGCCAGGGTCTTCCCTGCACATGCACTTAGAGGGCGAGTTGAAGGGACACCCACATGATCCAAGGTTCTGGCCTGCTGTTGGCAGCCGGAGGCCCACAGCGGCTGCTCTGTTCTGAAGGCGTGCTTATGGGAAGTCTGGCTGCCCTGCCAGGTGACCTCGTACAAGCCACTTCTGCATTCAAGTATATAGAATCCTGAGCTTTGAAGGGGCCTGAGCATGCAGTTAGTCTGACTTCTTTACCTCAAAGTAGAAAGCAGGCAAACTATAAATGAGTCGTATATAAATGAATAGTCCAATTTACTCATTTTGTAGGTAAGGAAACTGAGCCCCAGAGAGATGAAATGATCTGCCCAAGGACACAGCAAGTTAATAGGAGGGCTCTCCCCACTCGCACTCCCAGGTTGGCTTTCCCCAGAAATAAAGGAGGAACTTCAGGCAGAGAACTGGAAAAGCAAAAGGCTTGGGAGCATGCAGAGGTTTGGGGACTAAATGGTTGACAGGCACATGCCCGAGGCAGGCAGCCCAGATAAAGTGGCTGCTTTTCACCCCAGCCCAGGGCCAAGTGCCCAGCCCCTGCATCCCGTCCCCACTGCAGCCAGGGCCTCGGCTGCTGTCTGTGACTGTTCGCTTCTCTGGATGGCTCTTGTTGAGTCTCATTCCTGAGGAAGGTTTTGGAGACTGAATTGGTTTGAAAGAATTAAAATCATGAATTTTTACTTTGTAAAAAAATTAAATTTCCCAAAGTAGGATCCCTATCAGCTCTGGTTTGTGTCTTCAGCCTTCTGATACTATTGGCTCCAAATTTGCTGAATCGTGTTAAAGGAATTTCAAAGCCTAGAAAAACAGTCGTTGTGTCTAGAAGCAGAACTTGTGTCTGCCAGCAGGAGGGTGGGAGTGCTGGGCTCTTCTCGGAGTTTGAAGACGTTTTCCTGCTGTCATTGGCCAGAGCTCGGGCCTAGAATGATTTCATCTTCATACTGAGGATATGATTCTGGGCGAGGGCCTTTATCTTGATCTTGGTTTTCCCACTTGAATCTGAAGTTAATTTTACCAGCCCGCTTAACAGGGACACAAGGAGCCCAGCCAGAGGGGTAAACACGGAGCTGCTCAGCCGCCTGTCGCAGTCATCTTGTTGTGATTCTCAGAGATGTTTTGGGAAGAGGAGTGACCCAAATAGGCAAGCATCCTGAGAGTCTGGTTTCTTGGAGCATCTGTTCCCCACCCTGGCCCAAGTTCTCCACAGCCTGTTACTCCACCCTGTTGTCCATGTCCCTGGGTCCTGGTAAAGTCACATGTCTGTGAGCCCAGGGTCCGGGAGGCAGCCTTGGGGTACAGAGGTAGGGATTCAGTTGTTAAGAGGCACTGGGGGAAGGGCGAGGGGCCCCTGTACCCACTCCACATTGTTGCCCGACTGGCCTGCTGCAGCCTGTTGTCTGTGTCTTCCCCTCCTGGGTGTGGGGGAGCGCGGTCCTGCCCCCTCTCAGGTGTATTTGAAAAGAAATACATCCCCTTGGTTCTGGTCTTCGGAGATTTTTTCCCCCAGACTGCAGATGTCAGGGCTTCTGCTGGTGCCAGTCAGTTGCAGGCAGCTCATGACATCAGTCCTCCCTAGTCCTCCTGTCACCGCAGCAACAGTTGAAATGGCTCTAGTGTGACCATGAATCAGAGTCATGGCCAGGGATGTGGGAGCAACAGAGAGACCAGGCTTGGGGACAGGAGAAGATGGGGCCAAACCTGGGACTCTGGAGACCCCCATGGCGAAGAGAAAAGCAGGACGTGGTCCCCCGAGTCAGACTTCTGGTTCCTGCTTTATGTGGGCAAATAAAGGTTTTCTGGATGGGCAGGGGCTGGGAGGGGAGGCTTAGGTTCCCTCTCACCATCTAGGTAGGAAGAGAAGCCTTAATAAGATCAGCATCTCAGTTTGTCCCTGCCCCTGCCCCAGCCCAGCCGGGGTCCCAGCTGTGCCTGGCACACAGCAGGTTGCACTTCATGCCTGTGGGTGGCTGAGTGCTCCCTCCGCAGTGCAGCCACGGCCTCTGCAGGTGCGTATCCTGGTTGTCTCCTTGGTTTTCAAACCAGAGGCCAGTCTCACTGCCAGCAGCTTTCGGTCAGCAGCATGACGAGCCTGCTCACCTGGCTCTGGCCAGCAAGTGTAAACTGGGACTTGCCGCTCCCCGAGTCTCATCAGAACCCTGGCAGTAAGAAGGAGTATTCCATGGAACATTGGCCAAAGGATATGTAGCCATCTATTAGTTTAAAAGTCTGGATCAAACTGGACCCTCAGAAGACTGTGTTCGTAGACCAACATGTTTTGGCCTTTGCTAGACTTTTGTTAAATTGCAGTTAGATGTTTTGCCTTCTTCCTACTTTGAAGCTGTGGCTAGAAATAGTTGTGAATGATGAAGCTTGTGCCAGTTCTGCTGTAGGCTGCTGTTGAGGCTGTCACCCACTTCCTTACACAGTGTCTCTTTGGAAACCATTAGGAGAGATCTTTACCCTGGTCTCAGTACTGGGAGATGCCATGCTTTGGAGAAACTAGTTTGATTTTGTCTTTTGGATGTAATTGTGAATTATATTTTGGTTCTTTTTTCCTTTTTGCTCAGGCTGCTGAGAAACTCAGAGCCAAATGTGTGTGGCTGTTTGTGTATTAATCTCCCACGCCCCTGGGTCTTATTTTGTTTTCCTTTTCTCCCCCCCATGTTTCCTCCAGATGCACAGGATGCACGACCTGTTCACCGTTGGCAGCGGTGAGGCCATGCTGCAGCTCATCCCGCCCTTCCAGTGCCGGCGACACTGCCACTCCGTGGCGATGCCCCTGGAGCCGGGCGATATTGGTAAGTGGGGCCCAAGGAGGGCAAGGTCCGCCCCGGCATCTTTTTAGCTTTTAACTCAAAAAATATTGTAATAATTAAGTATTGCTTTCACAGAGGTCAATTAAATAGAGTAAAAAATAGCAGTTTTTTAGTTAACAGAGTCAATATTTATGCTTAGATGGAAGAACTAATAAGAAAATGTGGCAGAGAGAAATGTCTTATTATACATACATTTGGAACATGTGTCTGAATTAGAGAGTATTGTGGCAAATACTTAGAGCAATCTTTTATTTTACAGATGAGGAGATTGAGATCCAGAGAGGAGAGGTGACCATTCCAGGGCCCCCCACCATCAGTTAAGCAGAGAAAGTGTCAAGTCAGGGGAGGGACATTCCAGAGTCAAGGAAACCCCTTTCTTGTGCCCATTTTGCTAATGAAACAATGAAAACAGCCACACAAGGAAACATGACTTCCCATGTGGGTCCCTCAGCCAGGTCAGAGCCTCACAGTCATGACTCACCCTTGGCTCCACGATTTCCCAACTGTGACTCGTTCTGTGCATTAGATTCTAAAAATCAGTTCCAGAAAAACAGGTTTAAATCAGCTGCTGTCAGTAGCAATCAGTGTGACTTGAGAGTTTTCTTGGCAGAAGCAAATAAATCAGCGAGCATCCCCATGGCCTGCCTTGTTCTTCTGCCTCACAGAACCCAGGGCAGGCCTGCCCTTGGCAGAGCCCAGACTGGTTTTTCCATGGATTTCCTTTAGTTTACCTATTCTGAAAACCCCAATCCTTAGAAACCTCTCACCTCATTTGGAGAAAGGGTGCAGGCTGCAAACCGTGCCAAGGTTGAGTCCAAGTTACATAACTTTTATTTCAGTTTAGAAATGAAAAAATACAAATGCACAAATGAAGCATTGACTGAGAATGGAGTGCAGCTGGCCTGGCCCTTGAGCATCACTGCAGAAAAGAAGATTCCTGTGTAGAAATGGTTCCGAACCTGTTTTCCATAGTGGAGTGACCCTTTCCTGAGGCGTGGCCACGGCGAAGCCTGTATGGCATTTGGGGTTGGGAGATTGTCATTGTGCATGAACGAGTTTCTGTCTTATGTTCTACAAACGCCTGACAGTTCAGACAACTACACAGACACCTTAGTTATCCAAATTCCAGGTTTCCACTCCCAGAAGCATCTCGGATGCCAATTGACAGAACTAGGGGAAAAGAAGGAAAGGGGTGACTAGCAGTGATCAGAGAAGCTTTGGCTCCAGAGTCTGGTGACCTGAAGTCCAGAGCCCGGTGCCTGCTGAGCTGGGGCTGGCCGGCCTGCGGACTGGGAGGAGAGGAGCCCTGTGCTTGGCAGTGCCCACGAAAGGCCAGCCAGGAGTGTGGAGAAGGGACAGGAGACAAGAGAACATGAGGAGGAGGGCCAGCCTGGGAGGGGCCGGGGAGAACAGCGGGCACCTGAGCAGTGGCAGGAGCAGAAGCTGCCTCAGTTACAAATGAGCAGGAGAGCAGACGACAGCGGAGGTGGATCTTCAGTGGTTGGAGGACAGATGGCACCTCGAGCACCTCAGGGACCCTTAAGAATGGCGGTGTGACAAGCAAGCTTTGTGATCTTTGACAACATAAGTATTGTCCTGTGAAGGTCGAGGGGGAGGGGACAAGGTTATAGACCACCAGAAACCTGTGATCAGGGCATTTTCAAGAATGATGTAGGGGTCGGGGCTGGTGAGCCCGTGCATCTGCTGGGATTGTTCAGTCACTGCTCAGTGACCTTTCTTGACTCACCAGGCAGAGGCTAAATTCTAGTCGGTGCTCTCCATTTAAAGATGAGTAGGTACATCATACTCGAGACAATTTTACCAAGAGATTATTGAAGTGGTAAAGGTTTTACGTTTACCTTTCTAGCCCACTCAGATGCTACAGATTAGTGTTTCCTAAACAGTTCTTCAGACCATTCATGACCCTCCGGATGGGAACTGGAGCCCATTGGAAAGGCCCTGCAGATCAGGCGCCTTGGGTCAGTTGACTTAGGGAGATACCTGTCTTGTCCATACACAGTGCACATTAGTGTACAAAAGGCTCTGTAAAACCTTCGAGAAACCTAGTGTTTCTCAAACTTAGTTGGCCACAGAACACTGGACTATCCTCCAGGCCGCTGTTTGCAGAACACAATTTAGGAAATGCTGTGTTGGGTCAGTCTGGATGTTCTATGCTAATGCCGTGTTGTAGATAACCTCAGGAACACTGGCTAGGGGTCCCGCTCCCCCTCAAAACCCATCCTGCCTTCTGGCTGGAAAGGATGCGATCACTCTGGGAGTTGATACCCAGCACAAGCCCGTACAGCACATCCTGCCTTTGTAGACCTGCCGGGTTGTAATTCGGGTACCCAGGTGAGGGGCGCTGGTGAAGCGCTTGGTTCAGGGGCTCGTGTTAGATGTCAGGCTGCAGAGAAGACTGATAGTAACTGGGAACATTTGTGCCAGGAAGAGCTAAGACCTTCAGGGCAAAATGTGCCTGGCTTTGCAGGTGTGTCCTGAGCGCATCTCCCACAGACCCGCCTGGCTCATGCCCACAGGGTGCCCCGTCCCTGACATTCACATGCTTTCCTGTTGCTGTTTCCCTCCAAGGCTATGCTGCTGCCGCCCACTGGAAGGTCTACATTATAGCCAGAGGTGTCCAGCCTCTGATCACCTGCGATGCAACCACCCTGTCAGAACAATAGGAAACAACTGTGTAGAGGAACAGCTTGGGGAGCTGAAGACCAGACTGAAAGACGGAAATAATTAAAAAAAAAAAAAATGAAACCACTTTCCAGGGGTCGTTACTTGGTTCCCCGCCCCGTGCATGCGAATGTGAGCCAGCTTTGAGCCAGGCTGAGGGCCGGAGCCCGGCCCTTCGGCTGCTCAGCCAGGACTTGGCCAGTACCTGTCTGTGAGAGACTGAGCGCCTCCAGGTCTTCTGGCCCCGCAGGCTTGAGGATGTGCTTCAGGCAAGGAACAGAGTGGTGCCTTCCCTCACGTGCACGGCCTGGCCCCCTCTGCTGCCCCTGGCCACGGAGAAGGCAGCCAGCGTCTGACCGGCACCATCCTTCGGCAGGTGGGCCTGCGTGTCCCGTCTTCCTGGCCACACCACCCTGTGCTTTTCCAGGAAAGCCATGGCTGATTGAAGAAGGCCTTTCTGTTTACCAAGCAGAATGGAATCTAGAACCACTGAAAAAAGATCAAATAACCTCAAATTGCACTCAAGAACTGAACTTCTTTCCCAGCATCTGTGGCTCGTGGAGTATCAGTGATGCCAGGCTGGAGCCTGCTTGTAATTGAAATGGTTACTCCTAAGTAATACTTTTCTCCACTTTGTCTTTTGTTCTCCCCACCGCCCCCGCTCCTTCCCTTCTCCTGGGCTGTCTGGCTGGTTCTCAGCACTTCGGCTCCTGGCCCCTCCCTTGGCTGGGCCAGGGCCCCGTCCTGCCGAGGCAGCAGTTTCTGTCAGCTGAGTTGCTTTGACCAAGTGTCTTCAGGAGGAATGAGCTAGATGCTGGCTGGGGAGAGGGCACCTCCCCGGGTTTGATCTTTAGGGTCTGACTTTCTGCAGGGAAGATGTTTTACAGATGTGTGGAGCTGATGTTGTAATGTAGTTGGGGAAGGAACTCCAGACCCCAAGCGTCTGCCAGCTGGGTGTGCAACTGTGTGATCCTCTGTCTTAAGATGATCTCTCTTTTTGTATGGAAACAAGGTGAGGTGTTTCTTTTTTGTAACAGTGCAAAGCTGTATCCTTTTGATTGGGTAACTCACTATGTTCATTGTTTCCCTTAAATGCTTTTAGTGTGTATTAATCAAATGGTGTAAATTAGGATGCTCTTTTTTTGTTTCCTTTCTCCCCTCTATGATACTGCTGGGTATCTGGCCTCTGGTCATGCTGACACACGATGAAGCACACCGTGGCCGCTGCTTCCAAGGGCAGGAAGCGAACGGACGCAGGAGGTGCCTGTGTCAGGGCTGCGGGTGGGCGGGCAGTGGTGAAGGGAGCGAGTGTGACTGCCTGTGCGTCCTCTTCACCTGAGCGCTGCCCCCACCTGTCCCCAGGCCCTCTGTCTGAGCATCTCAGCAGCAGCAGTGGGGTCCCTGGGTGCTCAAGCCGCCTGTTTGTGGGCTGGTCAAGGGCAAGCAGGGTCACAGAGCTCAGGGTGGAAACACTCGGAGCCTCCTCCGCGAGTGTGGACGCACCAAGGATGAACCATACCTGAGGGACTTTTTCGGTGATGGAATCAGCGCCTTGTGTTGATTGACACAGGAAAGACAGAACTTCTGTACATATAAGTCATGCTTGCTAAGCAGTTATGCTTTAGGATGTTTTAGATCAGAGGGATCATGTAGCGGCCAGCTTTGTGCAGGCTTTTCAAGCCCTCGCAGGTCCTTCTCCCTGCCCACGTGGGAGGGAAGAAGGATGCGTTTTCCTCACGGAGGCCCTTTGGGTGAAGAAGAGAGGCTTCCTTAAGAGCAAAGCAACTGTTTTTAATGAGTGAGATTTCTGTTTCCTTTTATGAATTACCCTGTGTCCCTTCCCCATTTTACTCCTGCTCTTCTCACCTTTAATGTTCAAAAAATACCACTTCAGTTCAAAACCGAAAACTAAGCACCTTGCTCGTGCTGGTGTTCCGGGGCATGCCCTGGGGAGTCCTCGCAGCCCCAGCTGTCCACGGTTCACCCAGAGTGGTGTGGCTGCTCGGAGAGCCTTGTGCATGCGCTCCTTCGACCCAAGTCTGCCCAGTTCAGAACCGAGTGTAGATTTATGTTAGAGGAGAAATTCTCCAGAAAGGGTTTTCTGTGCTAATTACTGAGTGCAGTACATAGAAATAATTTGCCTTCTTCTGAAGGTGACTAGTAACCTGATTTTACCCCTCACCAGCCCTGCAGGAGTGGCCTGGGCGCAGGCCTGCCTCTTTCTGGTTCTCCGAGACTTGTGCTCCCCTCACTCTCAGCTCCTCCGAGGAAGCAGCGCAGGCCTCTGTGTGACCCGGGCCGGGAAAGGGTCACCTAGTGAGGAAGCAGTGTTGGGGGATGATGGGCCCCCTAACCAACCCCCACCTCCACCACCACAGTAAGGACGAAACCACAGGCCGCTAAGAAGAGGGACTTGCCCATGCGCTTGTTGGGTGTTTACAAAGAGGTGACGTGACCTCCACACACGAGTTAGGTTCACTTCCTTATAGGTTCCCAGAGCACAGACGTGTGTCCCCAGAAATCCGCGCTCGGGGCAGAAAGGCTCCTCTGGCACCAGCACGAAGTGTTTGTGTCCAAGTGGCCTGAGGTCTCGGGTTGGTTATTAGACAGGACACCTCTTCTGGCTTATCTTTTCCCCACCTCCATTTCTCTCAGGGAAGGGACAGAGTAATATAATAGTGGTTTATGAAAACTACCTATTTGGCAACATATAAATAATCTATGAAACAGGCAGACTTGGGCTCATTTTTTTCAGAGAAAGGAACAGTGCCCATGGTCTCTCCATCTTCACTGAGTCCTGTGAGGTAGACATTAGATCCTCATTGTACAAGGAAAGCAGCCAGGGCGTAGGACGTGTGTGCCGGTGGCCAGCAGTGGGCTCTGTGGCAGTGTTTCCTGCCTCAGCACGGTGCCCAGCACGGAGGGGCACCCTGGACTTGGTGAGTCCCACGGGTAGGAGAACCCAGGACAGGGTCAGCAAGCCAGGAACTCTTCAGGGTTTGTGTTTTAAAACTGTTTTGGACAGAAATGGAGGAGAGAATCTAACCAGATGACTTTTATAAAAAGGCTTTCACTTTTTCCTCCCCATTTGAAAACTCTGAGTGTGTCTGGAACACGGCTGTCCAGCCATTTTCCCGGCACTCCACGTTTCCAGATGTGTGGCCAGAAGAGGGACTCTGCCCAGTTCCAGTTGTGGGTCCCCTTGGAGTTTACATCACTTGTTTTTCAGTTCTCAGTTTTTCATTCCTTTCTTCCAAAATCCAGCCTAGGCTCCAGTGTAGGGACAGTAACTTGGACAGAATCTCAAGTTCCTGAGCTGCAGGTGAAGGCCTTCGTCATACTACTAAGTCTCGATGAGTTTGCTCATTAACCGGTGGCTTCCAGAGTGAGCCCTGGACACCCACAGCAGATGCCCTTCTCATCTGACCCTTGCCCTGCAAGAGAAGCCACATTTTAGGGAGAAAGGGGAGAGTTGCATGTCTGGTTGCGTGGACAGAGGCGATCTTGCCTACCTTTGTGACCTCGTTAGTAAACGGGTCTTTTAGGCTTTGAGTTCTAGTGATGGAGGAGAAATTCTTCTGCCTTCACAACTTCCACATTCACTAACTTCAGTGGCGACCCATTACCCACTAACCCACTGACAGGGGGAATGCCAGAGATGTGCTTTGAAAGGGTGAGTTAGGTTGAGGTCCCTCCACGTTTGGACCTGCACATACAGTGTCCAGAGCCGACGCGTGTCAGGGTCAGGAGACCGGGCAGGCAAGGTCGTACGATGAATGCCCCACGGCAATGGAAAGTGGGCGGCTCTGGGGGTGTGCTGTGTCACCTTGGCATGCGTGTCCCTGGCCGCCTCACCCCCCACCTCAGAGACAGACAGGGGCCTCCTTCCGTGCACCATGTCCGAGCCTGCCCTCCCAGACACCGTGTGATTAAGTGCTGGCCGTGGCGGGAAACCCTCCAGCCACTGTCTGTCGTCCAGGTCCCTTAGTATCCAGTTTCGCTATCCTGCATAATTTAAGCATTAGAGCTAAATGCATCTGTCATTTCCCTTTCTCTGGAGACATGGAAAGTCCAGACCTTTCCCGAGGCGGAGAGAAGAAATGTTATGTAACTGCCGGCCGAGGCTGGAACTGTCCAGACACGGGGCTGACCTGGAGGCTGTTCCTCCCGCACTTGTCACCAGTCCCGGGTCACCGGTCCAGGACTGAGCCCTGGCTGCACGCCCTGGCGGAGGAGACGGGAAACCGGTTTAGTTTTCAGTGTCAGACAGAAATTGGGCAGTGGGGACAGGTTTCATGAACCTCCTTTCTCCTCACACCTCAGCAGGTAGATGAGGTCATCCCGGGAGGCCCTGGAACTCAGCCCAGCAGTGTCCCAGCCTTCACACCGGCCCCTCTGCGCTCGTGACGGTTCAGAAACAAACCATCACTGGTCTGAGGACTGAGGGCAGGATCAGACACGTGGCCTTTCCGAGGGAACCCCCAGTCTCACCACAGGCATCGTGCCCTCCAAACTTCTGTCTGCGGTCTCTTCCTCCTCCCTCCCTCCTGCAGGAGGCCAGTGCGGGCGGGAGAGGGCAGGGGAGGCGGCGGTCAGCCAGGAACTCCACTCGGCCTCTTCCCTAACCTCTCATCTCAGACAGGAGCTGGCAGCGGCCAGGGCAGTGGGCCGGGGTGGCGCCTGGCACAGGACAGACACCTGCGCCGGCCACTGTGCTCTGATAGTCTGAACTTATGTGTGTTCAGTGCAGAATGTTGACCGTAACTTAATGTACTGCGAACTTGTAAGACTTCCGCCATGTAAAGAATGTATGTAAATTAAAGTTTTATGTAACAAAAGTTTTTACTTTTTTGCAATTAAAAGTGTGTATGTTGGTTGATAACTTCCCTATCCTTGTCATTCTTTAATTTCCAGTTTTCTCTTTCCCATTACTCAGGAGACTTCTAGCCGCATCCTGTTCACGAGGCAGGCCTTTGGGGCTTCTGTGGGCCTCGCGGTCCCCTGTCCCACCTGCACTGTCCTCTCTAACGTCCTCGCCAGCTTTGCACTCACTCGCATTCGCAGACTCTTCTTCTATCCCAGGCCTCGCCCACCATGGCTTCCGATCTGCTGTTGCCATGGGTTCTCGAAGCTCAGTCCTCCTGTGAGTACCTTCCCATGACCCGCACTTTGCCCAGAATTCACAGGAGCCCCGGTGCCCTTCTCCTTCTCGCCTGCTGGCTGTACACAGCCAGACGCCCTCCCGGTGTCGCCCCGCCTGTGGATGTCCTGGCTTCTCGCAGGACAGCCAGGCCCCTTGCTGGTTCTCTCCGGCTGCCACCAGATTAGGGCCACTCGGCACTCAACGCAGATTCGATTTAAGTCATCTTGGTGTGTGCGTGTTTTTTGGTAACTTTCTACATAGTTTTATATAAATGCATGAATATGACCATTTCTTATATAGTGCTTAGTGTGCTGTTTTATTTTCCTTCGATGCTTGCTGTGCCTTCGGCCCTGGGCCCCAGTGCCCTCGCCTGGTCCGTCAGTGCCGTGTGTGCACAGCCTTGCTCTGCCTGTGTGTTCCGTTTCCTCGTGCCCCTGTCATCACACATCAGAAGGTTTCATCATCACTTTCCCAGACGGATCCCGTACTCAGTACCGCAGAGTCGCCTTCAAGTCAGCTGCGTAGCTCTGATCCATTCGTGTTAATGGCTAACGTTCCAGGGGGTGACTGCGCCTTCATTTATTCAACTGTTCTCTGATTGAGGATAAATCACATCCTGGTAAATGATTATTTAGATTTTAAGTCAAGAATTCTGGACTTAATTTAAAAAATACTTGTCCATGTAAAGGTGGCAAAGTCACCAGTTTCAGTCCCCGCCTTCCTCAGCCCCTCAGTAGCCCTTGACTCTGACTTGTGGAAACATCTCCCCTCTTGACTTCTGGGACACTCACTACGCCCGGAGCCTCCCTTTTCCGTGTCTGCCTCCTCTGTAGGACCTTCTGCCCGGCTCTGAAACACTGGTCTCCCCCACGGCCCGCCCTCGCGCCCTCCTCCTCTCTCTGGGGGATCTTACCTCAGCCCTGCCTTGTGCCACAGGCAGGCCACCGCCCGCCGCGTGCCCCCCCAGACTTCCCCCTGACCTCGTCCTGTGGGTGCATGCTCTCCCGAAGCACCTTAACCCGCCGTGTCCACAACCGCTGTGGCAGCCTCGGAGGGCTCCTCCTTCTCTCTCGGCCTCTACTTCTGATCTGGACCGAGCTCTGGAGGATTCCAGGTACAAGTCCAGTCCCACCGCTGCTGTCTCGGGGTAGAACCTCGCAGTCTCAGCCCTAGCCTGCCAGTGGTTGCGCACGTGTTTCTCGTGACATCCCACCGTCCCAGTTCACCGCCCCCAGAGCTGCCCCAGGGACCTCCTTCTAAAGCAGTCACCCCTTGTGTGCTCAGTGCATCTCCAGGCCCTGATGCCCACAGGAGGAGGAGTCCTGGCAGCCGCTCCTTACCTCGCTTCTTCCCCTCTGCTATGCCGGCCTCCACTGTAATTCCTGGAAACAGCCAGGCTGCCTTTTCTTTTCTTTTTTTTAAATTTTAAAATAACTTTATTTTTAAAAGCAGTATCAGGTTCACAGCAAAATTAAGCAGAAAGCAGAGTCTCCATGTCCCCCAAACACACAACACCCCCACTATTGATGTCCCACACCACAGTGGCACCTTCGCTACAATCGAACCTACATTGACGCACTGTTCTCAAAGTCCACAGTTTACAGCAGGGTTCCCTCTTGGTGTACAGTCTGTGGGTTTGGACAAATGTGTAATGACATGTATCTGCCACTATCATATACAGAGTAATTTCACTGCCCCCCAAGTCCTCTGGGCTCTGCCTCTTGGTCCTTCCCCCGCCTCCCTGCTAACTCCTGGCAACCACAGATCTTTTATTGTTTCTATAGTTTTGCCTATTCAGATTGGCTTCTTTCTTTTTAAAAATTTTTTTTACCTTTATTGATTTTAGAGAGGAAGTGAGAGGGAGAGAGAGGAACATCAATGAGAGAGAACATCGATTGGCCACCTCCTGCATGCCCCCCACTAGGGATCGGGCTCACAACCTGGGCATGTGTCCTGACCAGGAATTGAACCGGTGACCTCTTGGTGCATGGGTCAATGCTCAACCACTGAGCCACACTGGCCAGACTGGATTGGCTTCTTTCACTTAGTGACATGCATTTAAGCCTCCTCCATATCTTGTCATGTCTTGATAGCTCATTTCTTTTTAACACTGAAAGATATTCCATTGTCTGGCTATATCACAGTTTGTTTATCCATCTACTGAAGATATTTTGGGTGCTTCTAAGTTTTGGCAATTATGGGTAAAGCTTCTGTAAACATCCATGTGAAGTTTTTTTTGTATGGATGTAGTTTCCCACTCCTTTGAGTAAATACCCAAAGAAGCATGGTTGCTGAATTGAATGGCAAGAAAATGTTTAATTTTGTAAGAAGTCACCAAATGTTTTCAAGTGGCTGCACCATTTTGCATTCCCACCAGTAATGAGTTCTCCACATCCTTACCAGCTGGTGTCAGTGTTCTGGATTGGGCCATTCTAATAGGGGAGTATCTCATTATTTTAATTTGCAGTTAGTTCCCTAAGACATATGACGTCGAACATCCTTTCATATGCTTACTTGCTATCTGTGTATCTTCAGTGAGGTGTCTGGTCAGATCTTTGGCCCGTTTTATAATTAGGTTGTTTGTTTTCTCATTGTTGAGTTTGAAGAATTCTTTGTATATTTTAGGTAACAGTCCTTTATCAGATGTGTTTTTTTGTTGTTGTTGTTCTTTAGGATATTTAATGGAGCTATTAAAATATTCTTTCCTCAAAGCAAAATATTATTCTAGTCTGTACATTTATTTTCTGAGATGCTATTAAATTGTTCATGGAAATGGCATTTTTCTGCATACACTTATTTTAAAAATTTTAACATACCCCAAATATCAAAATTTTTTTTTTTTTTGTTATCCTCACCCGAGGATATATTTTTCCAATTTTTGTACAGATAGAGTGGGAGGGAGAGAGAGGGAGAGAGAGAGAGAGAAACATCGACGTGAAAGGGACACATCGAGTGGCTGCCACCCGCACGACCAACCAGGGCCGGGGACAAACTGCAACTGAAGTACGTGCCCTTAGCGGGAACCGAACCTGGGTCTCTCCGGACCGCAGGCTGACGCTCTTAACCGCTGAGCCAAACCGGCCAGGGCTCAAAATTTTTTTTAATCCTTACTCGAGGATATTTTTCCATTTATCTTCAGATAGAGTGGGAGGGAGGGGGAAAGAGAGGGGAGGAGAGAGAGAGAAACATTGATGTGACTGATTGACCCCTGCACAACCCCAACCAGGGCCGCGGATGAACCGCAACTGAAGTACATGCCCTTGACTGGAATCGAACCTACGACTCTTTGGTCCTCAGGTTGACGCTCTAACCACTGACCCAAACCGGCCAGGGCTCAGATATATTTTTTATAAATCTTTTCTTCCAGTTGATGGCTTGTCTTTGTAATACATACAGAAGTTTTAAATTTTAATAAAGTCTAACTTAGCGATTGTTTGTTCTCTGCCAACAGTGTTATAGTTTTGCATCTTACATTTATGTCTATGACCCATTGTGAGTTCATTTTTATGAAGGGTGCAAAGTCTGTGTCTAGATTCATTTTTTTTGCATGTGGGTGTCCGGTGGTTTCATCACCATTTGTTGAAAAAGACTACCTTTGCTCCATAGTATTGTCTTTGCTTCTTTGTCAAAGATCAGTTGACTATATTTATGTGGGTCTGCTTCTGGGCTCTGTTCTGTTCTGTTGATCTTTAAGTCCTGAAGTTGGGTAGTGTCAGTCGTCCGACTCCATTCCTCACTCAGGAACGTGCTGGTTATTCTGGTCCATTGCCTGTCCATATAAACTTCAGAATGTTTGTCAGTATTCACAAAATAACTGGGAGTTTTGATTGGGATTTCATTGAATCTATAGATCAAGTTGCATCCGGATTGTTTTTAATGAGAAGTTATAATTCCTATCCCATGATAATATTTTTGGACTTCAATATGTCCTTTTTGCTGAGTTTAAATTCCAATTTATTAGTGCACATTCTTCCAACATTACACATGTTCTTTACTCTCTTAATAAATCAAACTGACAAGCCCTGAGATACTGCTATTTTACCAATCTTTTTGTTTGTTTGTTTTTTTCAGAATAATGACTTATTTTTGTAAAAATGATATGTTCTTCTTACCAGAATTGAAGACAGTTTGGGTGATCTTATGAAAATGTCCACTTAGCGATAACTACTGACATTAGGTGAACAGCATTCTAGGTATCTCTAGGATATTTCCAGCTGGAAGGCTAGATTGAAATGCTTTTATTAAAATGGGGCCAGTCGTGCTATTTAAAGAATAAAAGTACTAAATCAATTTCATGTGAATCTAACAGAAGAAAAAGAAATAACATGAGTTCCTAAAAGATCTCTCTGAAGATCATGAGAAACATGAAGAAACTAGAATCTAGTAAGATTTCCTTTTTAGATGACATGGTTCACGGCTCTGAAGATGAGGTGATTGTTTGCTCTTTCTCCTGACTCATCTCTTCCTCTACTTCCCAATTTGTATCGATTATACCTATATTGATTCTGTCAACATTTATGCATTTTATTCTCTGAAATGATAATTCTCATGGCTATTTAGCCATCACTGTGGCTCACCACCAGTACTTTTACCTCACTTCTTCATTCCTGAGTTGTTTTTAAACTCTTGGTTGGCTGAATCTCATCATTAGGTTTTTCAAGGATGGTTCATGCATGCTGTGTCTTCTGTGTCTGAGGATGTTTCTGTGGTCTTTACACTTGAATGCAACTTGGCTGAGT